TATGGGCATGGTTCCCACCTGGGCGTATTTCAGCCCGTGGAAACGCACTAAAAAACGCCCTATGCCCAAACAAGTACAGGAGCTTCTTTGGGGCGTATTTCAGCGCGTATTCTTTGTTATTCCCGAGTGTGGCTCGGGGTTAACAAAGCGGTAACCCCCAGCCACACTCGGGGATACAGCGTAGGTCTTACCTTGTCCGCGATCCCCGCTTTGTCCTCTGGCCACTGCCGTCTTCCGGGTTCCGTCCCTTGCGAGTGTACGCGTTGCATGGGGGCGGAACCGGCGGGAAGTTTAAAAAAAAACAGAAACAAAAGAGAAAAAATAAAGGAAATTTTTTTTAAAAATCATACCTGCAGGGAGGTATAAAAACGCGTTTCACTGAACGAAAAAATGTGCTGAAAAACGAGCAGAAAAAACGCGCCTATAGTACGCCCAGGTGTGAACCCAGCCTGTAGTAGAAAAAACGCGCCTATAGTACGCCCAGGTGTGACCTCCAGGTACATATGAACAAAGATGTCACCAGCATGACAGGGACTCATAAGTCAGTGCAAATCCATTTAATAGATGTCACTCAGAATGACAAGCGCTTTCAGGGCCACACAGGGTCCCCTTCATCAGGCTCAGAGTAGACATGAGCCTGATGACTGGGACACGGTGTGGCCCCGAAAGCGCTTGTCATTCTGAGTGACATCTATTAAATGGATTTGCACTGACTTATGAGTCTCTGTCATGCTGGTGTGCTGGTGACATCTTTGTTCAGATCGTTTTGTGTGCGGTGCCATCCGCTGTCATTTTGAGCACCCATTAACATTTTTGGGATTTCCAGTAAGGAGTGCTACAGGATCTATGACTTTTGTGCTTTTCTCCAGGTACATATAACGCGCTACTACAGACCGCTGCGGTACTGAGGATCCGGCCTGCTTTATTTGAGTCCCCTAGACCAGGGCTCAAAATTTCATGTCCTGAGTTACTAGCCAAGCCTTAAAAGCTACTCGCCACCAGTTGCCGCACCTAAACCCTACCCTACCCCGGACTCAACTCCACAAGGTCATTGGTGTGACGCAGAGTACAGAGGTCAGTGGTGTGACGCAGAGTACAGAGATCAGTGGTGTAATGCCGAATACAGAGGCCAGCAGTGTGACACACAGTACAGAGATCAGTAACAACGCACAGTGCAGAGGTCAAGCGGTTTAAGGCAGAAATAACAGGGACGTACAATGCACATGGCTGACCTGATTCAGGTGCCCTCTTCTCCTGGTGGTGTCCTCCATGTCCATAGGGAAGAACAGGCTGCTGTGTGCAATCAAACGCAGCACCTGTCCCTCAGGGAAGGGCCCGATACGGCCTTGCACGCCACACGGATGTATATGGCCTGAATAAACGCTGTGTGAATGAGGCCTAAAGCACACATGTATGTGATTGTGGGAAAGGAGAAGGCCTACTAAAAGGAGTGCACTCACTGAGCCAGGAATGACTGATACTGTTCATCAGATAGATGCGTGTGTGTCTACATGTCGGCAAAACTTCTTTACTGATCACGCTTGTGTATGAATGAATTATGTAACCTGATTGGTTGCTCTCGGCAACAGATCCTGCGCTCCATCCTCTTTGCTCCAATTAAATGCAGCAGCTGGCGTACACACACACTTAATGGGATTGGATACTTCGCTCCTCTGTGATAACTGCATCCTTGCCAGCTCCTGGCATGCTGGGAGTTGTAGTGCTCCAGCAATTCAGCTACACATAAGATGGTCATGTGGAAGATGAGGATGCAGGACAGAGTGATCCCAGAGATTGCCCTGCACCTTAGTGGAAGCAGGCAGTGTAGCTGCCCTCATACACCACTGTCAGTGTGTAGAGCCCAAAAGCCGTCCTATGAAATACCCCTGGGCCCTGGAGAGAAGGGCCCTGCTCGGACTCTCCCTCTTTCTGGATGGAGCGTGTCAGGCCTGATGGCAGCAGTGACATAAGGAGGGGATCTGTACTGCGCGACGGGTATTTATCTACTCCGGCGCTGCTACTTTCACAATGCACGCAGGCTAGCTGATCAGTACAGCAGCGGCCGGGAAGGAGTGATAAGAAAGCTGGCGGGAGCTATCACTCACGCACCTGAGGTGACTCCATGGACAGCGCGGCATTTTGGGGAAGCGGGGTAAAGTGTCGCTTCTTTATGCAGACAGCGCTACTCTGGAGTTTACATAGTGGCGCTGCCCACAGGAGGTGGGAGAGGCAGGCTGGGGGGGATGGGACCAGAGAGGTGATCGCCGCTGCTGAAGCTGTGGCAGTTTCCCCCATCGTCCTGCCGGCGGCGCCCCTGCCCCCCGATGAATTTCCACTCGCCCCCACGCAATTTTCACTCGCCAATTGCGAGGGGGCGAGTGGAAATTTTGAGCCCTGCCCTATACCATGGGTGCGCAAACTCCAGCTGTTGTGGAACTACAAGTTCAAAGAAGTATTGCAAGATTCTCAAAGTCACAGGCATGACTCCCAGAAACAGAGGCATCAGGGGAATTGTAGTTTCATCACAGCTGGAGGGCCGGAGTTTGCTCACCCCTGTCCTAGACAAAATGAGCAGTTTAAGTGTATTAAATCTTCACTGTAAAATCTAATATGCAGCAGCATACAACAGGGTGTACCATGCCTGCTCTTTGCTTTCGGTCTGCATCCCGTCACTTGTCTGCACTCTTCCTTCCTTCGAAGTTTCTCTCTTCTCCTTTTCCACATTGAGGCTCCACCACTTTTCAGGGTCCTGTGGATAGGGTTGCCACCTTTTCTTCAAGCGAAACCCGAACACTCCAGCGACGCGCTGACATTTTTGTGGGAGAATGAGTTGTGGCTTGTTCATAAGTAAAAAAGAGTGAATCCTGGACAGGTGGCAACCCCACCTGTGGAGCCACCTTTGCTTGCTGCTTCAAATCCTGCACCTTGTTATTATGGCCCTGGGGAGGGGGTGGTCATGTGACCAATGAATGATGCTGCTGGGGTGTGCGCACTTTAAGGCCCCATTCACACGTAGCGACTTTCAGGGCGACGATCCAGCGGCGGTACCGCGACCTTCTCCATCGGGCTCCATTAGAAAAAAGCAAAATCGCGCAAAATCCGCTGAAAAAAGGGTCCTGTAGAAGCGACTTGTGACCGCCATGAGCGACGCGCGACATGGAGCTAAGACAGCTCCATTGAATATCATTAGCAGGCGACTTCTCGCGATACCGCAAGGCAAAAATGCGCGATATCGCGGTGGAAATCGCGCCATAAATCGCTACGTGTGAATGGGGCCTAATGCAGGACAGGGACATGTGGCCACTTTATTGCGGGACATGTGGCCTTTGATACAGTTGCATCAAAGGCCACATGTTAAGGTGACTTGGTCAGGCCTGGGACCGGGGCGTACATGCGCTGTGCAATCAGTGGGATGAGGGACCTGACCTGGATCATTGTTTTTACTGACCAGAAGTTCAAGGTAGCAGCTTTGATGTATAAGCAGCGATTGAGAGAAAAAGAAAGAGATTGGGGATAAACTCTCCAGCAGTGCCATCTGCAGTCATTTCAGCACCCACTTCCAGGGGTTTCCAGTAAGGAGTGCAGCAGGACACCCATTGGAACGTCCCACTCAGATTGCTATGAGCTCTTAACAACCTGGGACGCTGTAAACACCACCCCAGCACCCAGCCGCCCCCTCCCAATGAGATGCCACCTTTATAGGGACGGCCCTGTCCTTTGCCATTCAGAAGAATAGCGCCAGATTCCAAAGTCAGTGAAGTGCTAAGCACATTTATAGTGATATACTAAGTACTCACTGATACAAATTACCAACTCTTTTTTTGTTAGCGTCAGTTTTTCTAAAACATTAGACTATACATTTTAGGACAACAGTAGAGCACCATGGCTTGGTCGCAAATAAAATCGCTGTGACCCTGGTAGTTCTGCCAATAACTTCAAGCTGTAGAGGGACTACAATCCCAGCAATACATTATACAGCAATGCAGAATACCAACAGCTATAGAGTACTACAACTCCCAGCAATACATTATACAGCAATGCAGAATACCACCAGCTATAGAGTACTACAACTCCCAGCAATACATTTTACAGCAATGCAGTATACCACCAGCTATAGGGGACTCCATTTCCCAACAATACATTATACACCATTGCAGGATACCAACATATTACAGTTGTCATGGTGCTGCACATGTGATCAGCTATGAAACAACCCATTGGAGGGCTTTAAAGTTTGGTTGAGAGCTGAAATAATCACACTGGCAAGCATGACGATTGGCTTGCCTTATAAGTAACTGTTTTGGGAGGCATTCAGGGCCGGTGCACACCTAGGCGACACCTCACCGCGCGGCAATCGTACACGATTCCGTGCGGATTGCCGCACAGTCAGGAGTCGCCTAGGTGTGCACAGATCACGCTGTGGGTGCCATTATTTTCTAATGGCACCCCAGTCGCGCCGGGCGGATCGCCGCGATTCCGCCCGTGCTTCCGAACACGATCACAGCTAAAACAGCCGCGAGTCGTGTGTCGCGAAAAAAAAGGTACATGTACCTTTTTTCTGCGTTTGCTGCGTGGATGTCACCCCATTGAAATCAGTGGGGCCGCATTATGCAGGATCGCGTAGGTCTGCATTGGGCCTCAATTGGGGGGTAAAGTTCCTTTTTAATAAACTGGACAATGTATATTTGATTGATCTGGATTCATTATTGAAAAATATGAGAGTTTAATACCACTTTAACAATAAAAATCTAGTATTATTGTGTTTTTTATTTTGTATACCTGAACATAGGCATTTGTATGTGGCAGAGCTGTGGGCAGAGCCTATCCGGCCAGCGCTACGTTGTGCTAAGCACTGTCATTGCACGCTTCCCACCTGCTCTACCACCGCACTCTGCAATGCTCCAGAACGGCCAGCAGGGGCAGTAAACACTCTCTAAACAGAAGGCTTACCACGTGATCTATGATGCTCACGAGACCACGTCTCCTCCTTCCTATGTCAGTTCCTGGGTTTCCATAGTGACCGGAGACGCGGTTGTTTGTTGTAGTTTCCTGTTGTGTGCGGCGTCTGCAGCAAGATGGTGAGTGTGCTCCTCTCCCCGGGGACTGAGGGCTGTGTCCGGGGGGGGGAACAACAGAAAGCGGCTCCATGGGGCTGTGCAATGTCTGCATGGAGCTGTGAGAGGCTCTGATTATAGACACAATAGCTATATGTTTAATTTCCGGCATTTAGATGATGGATGGGGACTGGGAGCCATGTCTGTTCTCCCCCTTTCCTTACCCCTTGTTATATCTTGCATGTTGTTGGTGATCTCCAGGGACAGCCCGAGATCTCTTCCTGGAGATCCATAGAAATGTGCCAGGCTTTCTGTAGTGTAAAACCTCCATCTATTTGCTCAGCATAATTCTCATCATGTGTTATCCTTCATTGATTTATTAAAGGGCCCCGCCATACACAGAAGCAGCCTGCAAAAGAAGATTATCCATACAGATCTTCCTAGCAGGAGTGGATACCAGTCTGTGCTCTGCTGCACAGCTATGGCCGCTGATGTACAAGTGTGTATGATGCCCGATCCCATGATTTGTGGTTCCTCCAGCCAGATCACTCCATCATTGCAGGACGCAGTACTGATGTAGGGGCCAATGAGAGGAATCACGGTCTAAAATGAGATCAGGCATCTAGTACTCCTGGAAGTGTCAGATTCCAGCAGCAGCCGTTGCTATGCAACAGAGCGAAGATTGGTGTCACCGTCCACCATAAAGGTATGTGTAAGTTATATTAATTTGCAGGCTGCTTCTGTTTAGCTTCCATAGCAATAGGGTCACTTTAAAGGCAAGTCAAACTTTATCTATAGATTTTATATGAGCAGCAGTTTCCAAGGGGCTTCTGTTCCTTGCATCCTTTAGGCTAGGTTCAAACCTAGGCGACACCTCATCGTGGATTGCTGCGCGGTCAGGAGTTGCCAAGGTGTGAACCGGTCGTGCTGTCGGTGCCATTATTTTCTAATGGCACCCCAGTCGCGCCGGGCTGGGCGCCACGATTCCGCCCGTGCTTCCGAACACTAAAACAGCCGTACTTGTACCTTTTTTCTGCGATTGCCGCGCGAATGTCACCCCATTGAAATCAATGGGGGCCGCGCGGCAATCGCTGCCTGCATTGTGCAGGACCGTGCGATCCTGGGATGCACGTCCCGGGTGTAGTGCAGGTGGGAACCTAGCCTTAATATCACTTTAAAGTGACCCTGTCAATATGCGTGACAAATTCAGCTATACCCAGCATGAGGAGAAAATAATACTTACTTACCTTTTCAACGCCCGTGTATTAAAATTCTACTGATGTTCCCCGGATGCTGCAGATATCCTACACTTCCCGGTGTGTTGAATATACACTCTCCACATTGTGCGCTGTAGGTCCTCCTGCTAGCATTGCGTGCAATAAATGCTTACGTGCACTGATTTGTTTTTAAACATTGGCGACCTGGAAGTTAATTTGATGTTTCTGAAGATCACTATACACATTACAACGTGATCGTGCAATGGGGTGAATTTTTTTGAAACTGGAGCAGACAAAATCTGGAGCCGTTGCCCATAGAAACCATCAGCTTCTTCTCTTTTCAGTTTGTTCATCGAAGGTTAGCTTTGAAAATGAAAGAGAAAAGCTGACTGGTTGCCAGGTGCAACTTCTCCAGTTTTGATAAATTCCCCTCGCTCCCGTCTGCAGTTCTGAAGCTTCATCCTGCACGGCCGCTCGGGATGGGGCGGGAGCATGCACAGTAGAGATCTTCGGCGGAGAGACACAGTGGACGTGAATGCACGCAGCCGGGAGGGTCATGGGAGGACATATACTAACGTCCTCCTGTAACCCAAAGCTCAGTATATATGCTGAGAGCGCCGCAGCCGGGACGGATCCCGACAATACTGTCGTGATCCACCCAGCTTGCTGATAAGCATAGCCTGCTGTCAATCTAGAGGCAGAGCCAGCTGTGTCCACCCTTCCCCTGTCTGTCCTTCCAGTCAGCACTATATACATGTAGCCACAATTTTTGCAAATTCTCAGTTGTAAAAAAATGTTTGTTTCATTTACAGTCTGAGGTTGAGGAAACGTTGAAGAGGATTCAGGCTCAGAAAGGAGTGATTGGAACTATAGTAGTGAACTCTGAAGGTATGAAGGTCTAATGTCTGAAACTGCTAAACAAATAGTAAACTTGTGACTCTCACACCTGCTGCACAGAATATTCTGGGAGTAGAAGAAAGGTGTGGGGCCCTGGACCACTTTAGGCCTCCTAAAGAGTCTCACACATTCCACCATGAGACTCATGCAATCGCTGTTTAATCCAGTGGAAGCTGTTCGCAGGTCATTTGCATGTAATCGCACATGCTGTGATTACCTGCGGATAATCCCACCTGGTGGTGCAGGTGGTGGCAGCCATCATTATACTGTACAACTCCTCCTGCTTGCAGCTAATCGCATGAGCCTCAAGTAGGAATTGATGAAGCCCATGTGATCAGCTCCATTCACAAGTGTGAAAGGGGCCTAAAGCAGTAGGTATTCTCACTCAGGTCATAAGCAGTGTAGGAGGAACAGTTTTCCTTAGGCAGCTCTCCCAGGAGTGGTGCCAGAAGGTTGGCTTTTTGCTCCATTAGAGACTCGTGCAAGGAGAAAAGCACCAAAAGCAGAACATGTAAAGTCCAAATTTTACTTTAATCAGATTGTTATATCATTAAAAAGTTCAAGGATGGCCCTTCATCAGGGCTTGGTGTTATTGAACAATGTGTGTGCTGGACTGATAGGATTGGAAGGGTTGTGTGGGGTTATTAGTATGATTGCTCCAGATGCAGATTTATTTTATGATATAATAATCTGAATAAAGTTAAATCTGGACTTTAGATGCTCTGCTTTTGGCGCTATCTTTCTTGCACACCAAGTCCCTACTCCAGCACTGCATAACCAGGCAAGTGACGCCGATATGGTTCAGATTTTATATCTTCCTGTGTAACTTTTCTGTGCTCTGGACAGTGAGTCAGAATGGTATTAAAACCGGCTTCCTGGCTGTTGGATTCAATTTCAATTTGCATAGTCATTAGAGGGAATTTATCAAAACCGGAGCAGTTGCCCTTGGCAACCCATCAGCTTCTCTCTTCAGTGTGTTCAGATTTGAAAATGAAAGAAAGAAGCGGATTGGTTGCCATGCACAGGTGCTCCGGGTTTTATCTGTTCCAGTTTTGATAAATTCTCCTCATTGTGTTTTTATTATCTGCTTCATCACACTTTATAGCCAGAGTTGGACAAATCCCAGGAGCCAGGTAGCTAGTGTTCCTCAAAAATGACAGCTACCTCGTAACTTTTGAGGTTTTCTCTAGTTTTTACTAGGGATGCACCAAAATATTTTGGCCTAAAAATGGCACGATGGGAAAAATGCACATCGTACCAAAACGGCCGAAAATTCAGTGCATCCCTAGCTTCTCTCCTCCCCGCTGGATGCCGGTCTGTTTCCCCCTCCGATCCCCACTGTTCTCCCCCACCTGTGTTGGCAGAGGCAGCAGGAATTGGGGGGGACACAGAGTTGTCCAGCGGGAAGAAGAGAAGATGTCAGGATGCCAAGTGGGGAGGAGACAGCAGTCAGATGTGACAGGAGGCCGAGCTCTCCTCCTGCACCGCCTCCTGTGACAGGCAGAGGAGTCAGGATGGAGAGGGACTGATCGCTGAGCGTTTGTCAATAGCTAAGAAAATAGTATGCTTTGTCAATAGCTAAGAAAATAGTATGCTTACTGCGTCCCTAGTTATGAACGAACAGGAAGTGCTCTACATACACTTCCTGTTCATTCATGATTGTGGACATAGTAAGTCATACTATATCCACAGTTCATGAATGGACAGAACTGCAGTAGACCGCAGAAAAGGAAATTAGGCACTCTGTATCCTCCAATCTCTTTTGCTATTTTAAATGGGAAATATCAGGGGTCTGGTAAGACCCCTGATATTTTCCCAAAGTTCCTGGCAGTAAAGTAAAAAAAATAATTTGAAAAAGATTGGGGGAAAAAAAAAATTTGTGTTTGTTTTTTTTGTTTGTTTTCAGTCTAAAAAATTTATTTTGGTGCATCCCTAGTTTTTACCAATTGAGCTCAAGGTAGGGCTGCAACTACTGATTATTTTCATAATCGATTAGTTGGACTATTATTTTTTTCGATTAATCGGATAGAAAAAAATTAAATACCATCCTTTAATTTAAAATGAAATACACAAATGCAGCATTACAAAGTTTACTTCAGAATAAAACTGCATGCACAATTTTTTACAATCGCACTTCACTGAAACGCATGGAATTGCGGTACCGTGTTCCAGTGCGGGCGATCACACTGTGGGTGGGAGGCGCGTTCGGGGTGCATTTGAAATGAATGGCACTGCAACGCACATCCCGCAGCAGAATTTGTCAGGCCGAAACCAAAAATGACTTTTTCCCCATCACATGGCGCTTAAAAAGCTTCAGCCAGGGAATGACAGCAGTCGGCGGAAAGATTCCACAGACTGCAGCTGAATGTATATACAGCAGGTAGTGGGCGGGTGCAATAGCCAGCCTGCTATTGGCCATTTCAAATTGCAATAGCAGGCTGGCTGTTGCACCCGCCCACTGCTTGCTGTGCCCTCCTCCCTGCATGGAGGAGAGAGATTGGGGATCCAACTAAGTGAGAATGAGAATAGTTGCCAACTATTCTCATTATCAATTATTATTGATTAATCAATTAGGTGGTTGCAGCCCCAGATGAAGGTATTACTTCCATTCAAAAAGCATATGTATCCTACAGCCACAGCAGGAAAGGACGACCGTTCATACATGACCCAGTTTGTCTTGTACTATATTACTCTACTCCTGACCAGCATTACCAAATCACTGGTTTGATTTTACATGTTGCCTAGAGATGCCCCTTTGATCTGATTGGTTGATATGAGTTTCTGCATGCTGCCCATCATCATTTACATTTTGCCCTTCTTTCTGAGTTACCCTGGCAGAAGATCCATATTAACGACTGATGTTATTTTACAGGTATTCCAATTCGGACCACTCTAGATAATTCCACCACAGTTCAGTATGCTGGGCTCCTTCACCAGTTGTCTATGAAAGCTAGAAGCACGGTACGAGATATCGACCCTCAAAATGATCTCACATTCCTGAGGATTCGTTCAAAGAAGCACGAAATTATGGTTGCCCCAGGTACTGCTATAACCGGCTGATCTGGTTTTCCTTGTTTATTGCTCAGCGCAGTCTAAATAATCGCTGATTAAGTCATTTAAAATCCTAATAAAAGTCCACGGAGGTTATTTGATTTAATTTATAGGCATCCATACAAACCTTTCCGTGCCTTAACAGAATAATATAGGCCAACTCCACCCAAACCTTATGTTTCAGCTTTGGTTTGAATCACCTGCTGAACTCCTATTTTAGAAATGTGTGTAACAATTACGAGGGGCAGAAACAACCCTTCCTTCCTTCCTGGAAGTAGAGATCCAGCAAAGACTCCCAGAAAAAGCCCCTCTCGTAAAGAAGATGTTGGGTATGTAGAAAAAGGATTACGCAAGATAAATCAGGACACTGGATTATAAGATATTTATTTGGTTGAAAATTGTTTGCACCATTGACGCGTTTCATTGCTTGAAATCGCGACTTCTTCATGAGATCTGCTCCCATTGGCACCTCTAGCTGTCAGTAACAATGTGAGGTGCATTCATTTGTATCTTCATCTTTTACCATAAAACCATGACAATATTGGCAACCTCTCTTAGCTGGATTTCCTAATTTATTTATTCTAGGTTATGAATAAATTAGGGTATAATGACACTGATATTTGCCTTTGTAATGGCCATAACATTTAACTATAACTAGTAATACTGGTGGAGTTATGGCTACCGGGGTCCCTGTCAGATATAAGAAGCTAGTAGAGTAGTCAGCTTGCCAGAAAGCACACAAAACTGAGACATCAGCTCTTGAGTGGAGTTAGTTGAAAACAAGGCTAATAGGAAGGCGGTTAGCTTGAAGCGACCCATTCAGGGGTTGTAAATACATACAGTAGCCATACCCTGTAAAAGAAGGAGCTTCATACTTACCTTTCTGGCAGGCAATGAATTAAAACTCTTGGAGAGTTTCCGGTATCGCTGTTATTCACACTTCTATGTGTTAAATAGTGTCCCCCCACTGGCCATTATCTTTCCTTCTCCTGACCCCTTTGGTGCTACAGGACACAGTAATGACTTATGGATAGGTGGGAGGAACCCCAGCGGTTATTAGGAGCACACTCGGAAGTGTTGGACAGAAGCACTTCAAGAGAATAAACTTGCAATACGCCGCCTGCCAAACAGGTAAGTATAAAGCTTCTTCTTCAGGGTGTGGCTACTAACTGGATCACTATAAAATGAGAAGTGCTGTGAGCATTCCTTAAAGCTGATCTCCAGCCATTAACCAAAGACTAGTATTTGCAAGCTACAGGCTTATACTGTTCAAAAACACTCTACTTTTTTTTTGTTAGGCTTAGTTCTCCCTTATTTTCCCTGGGCAGCTCTATTGTAGTACAACTGGGCGCCACTCTCTAAGTAGAATTGCTCCCAGTTGCGATTCCTCCTCTCTGTAGGTCATATATTGAGCAGTGATGTTCTTATATCCCGCTTCCTTCAATGGGTGGGTACTATCAGCACAGCACCCATCATAACCCACCCTCAGGGATCGATTGGCAGCTATGTGGGTGTTCACTATAAAGCAACGGACACCCCTGGGCACCACCCACTTACATGCCCCTTGATGTCATTGCATTTGCCATTGATTCATGGGAATTGTAGTTCTAATTTGTCAAATTGATGGATATGATGTGCAGTGCCTCTTGTTCTATCAAAGATTGTGACTGGGTTGGAGTGTGTGACCGGTCATGTGGTCACACATTTTAACGTAGTCATGCCCACTTTTTCTGCGGTGGAATATGTGACCGGCAAAATGTGAAGAAATTCCAACGATTTCTAAGCTGTTCCAGGGCAGATCGGCATCGCAGATGGTATGTGCAGGAGAACCGATCTGCCCTGGAACAGCTGATCGGTCCTGAAATGTCACTTTTATCCGACTTTGTGGAATGTGAGAGCGCAGTCACAAAGTCGGATAAAACTGACATTTCAAGACCGATCAGCTGTTCCAGGGCAGATCGGTTCTCCTGCACATATTATCTGCGATGCCGATTTGCCCTGGAACAGCTGGAATTCTTCACTTTTTGCGGGTCACATATCCCACCGCCGAGAAAAAGGTGTGGGATCACGTTAAAATGTGTGACCACGTGACCGGTCACAAATTCCACTGCTGAAAAAGTGGGCGGGATTAAGTTAAAATGTGTGACTACGTCGCCAGTCACACATTCTAATGCGGTCACAAACTTTTATAGAACACTTTTATATTGACCCGTCCCATGGTGCCCATAGTACAATTTCAGGCAGCAAATGATGATGTCATAAGGTAAGAAAGGCATGGTTACTGAAAAAAATAAGACGCTAATTAAAAACTGTTATGGCGTTTTTGATGTGAATGGGGACAAGGAGCTAGAGGTGCAAAGTTAGCTGGATCCCGGAGTTGAGCATTTATACAGCTATGGTAAGCTTTGCATTGTGGGACGAGGCAATTGTGCATTTCAGCCCCTGGCGCACTGTAATTTTGTGTCTGCACCTCTCCCCTATAGGGCATCATGCTGGCTTAATGTGCCTCACAAACAAGAGTTGCTTGATAGGAGATTAGCTTTTTGTTCTGATTCCGATCACTCGGCTATGACATGTTTAATACGAGGTAGATGATTGGCCACACAGATAGTAAACATTTTAATTCTAAATGTTCCTCACAGTGGAAGATACACATCAGTCAAAACTGAGAACGAAGTCTTGAGATGCATATAGTAGTTCAGTTTCCTATTCGGGCATTGCTGTGCTTCACCAATTTATACCAATCTTATTTTTTGATAATCTGGGGACCCTTTTGTCTCACTTTTAGAATGCAGGAGAGATATTCCCAAACCTCCGCTGCAAGCACCCTGCCGTCTTTCCAATACAGAAAGCCTGATGCATCAAAGTGCCAGTAGTCGTTTCTCTTAGCCACCAGCTTCAAACCTACATTGAGCATTTGAATCCTATTAGTGATACAGCTAGCAGATAATGGAAGTTACTCACCATCGGCTTTAAGAAGTATTACCGCATTGAATGTGAGCAGGTGGGATACTGTGAACACGGGCTATCAAAAGTGAGCTTTCTGTCTTCATCACGACTGCAGTGTTTGCAGGATAGCATTGGTTTTGATTGTTTTAACTTGTGACCTGAGTTGATCTGTCCACCTTCTGATAGTTGTGTCACTGATTGGAAGCTGACTATCCACCCCTCTGTAGGGTGGACATAAACTGATTTCAGAGCAGATTGAGCATTCCATGTGACAACAATTCAATGGCAGTGGCCTGTGTAGGTGTTCCATCGTGAAGATACAAGATCAAGGGATGTAACTGAATGCACCATTACACGACAACAGCTAGGTTATAGAGGATCATAGTTGGTCACAGCAGATTTAGGAATGGGCGGGCACGGTCTTATGGGGGAGCCAAACGTCAAAGAGTCCAAAGTTTTTTAATTGCATCATTTCTTTTACAGTAGAAAAACCGCCAACGCATTTCAGGGGCCACACAAACTCCCCCTTTTATTAGGGCTCTGTCAATTTTGACTGTACTTAAATGGACTGAAAAAGATATCAGATGGATCTCTGTTTTTTTTGCTTGGAAAGGGGGGGCAGGTTATGCCAGGGTTAACAAGTGCAGCAATAAAGGTGGAAGTTTGTGTGACAACTGAAAGTCGTTGGTAGTTTTTCTACTGTGAACCAATGTATCATTTTAAACATTGGACATTTGGAGCTCTCCTTTTGAAGTGGATTCTCAAATCTGGGGCCCCACTTTCTTTTAGGGAGTGTCCCAGTTTTGTCAAGTGCTGCCAAGCCAGACGTAGTGTTCTCAGTGATAATTCCAATGATCCTTTGAAATTTTGTATTTAGCACCTCACTGTCTTTCACATCTAGCCATCTTAAAAACAGATATGGTCGCACTTTTCCCTTCGTTGCCTAATCTGGTTTGCAGAAACCATCATTACAAGGTCATCTGTGCCTAAAGCAGAACTAAGCCCACCAATCTAACTGTGTCCCAAAAGAAAGCTCGTTAGAAATGTGCAGTAAATGTTATCCTTAAAGGAGAACTATGGTGTCAGGGCTTTTCCCCATAGTTCTCCTAAGGGTAACGGGAGGACACAAACTAGCGTCCTCCCGTCACCCTAGGCTCAGTATACCGCTAGCTGTAGTATACTGAGACGCCGCAGCCGTGACAGATCCTGACATTACTGTCGAGATCCACCCAGCTGTGTGAATGACAGCTGGCTCTGCCTATCTAGAGGCAGAGCCAGCTGTGCCCTCCCCCGTCCGTTCCGCCAGTCAGCGCTGGAGGATTGGGGAGTGGGGGGGAATCCCTGCAGGCAGGGAGCCATGAGTGAATAGATCGAGAAGTGAGCGAGCGACGATATGTGTTCGCTCACTTCCCGATCTATTGAGCCGGCCTGTGACAGTCTCATTGTCACAGGTCGGCTAGAACTATGAGGCTGAGTGATTTTCACTCACCTCATAGTTCTCCTTTTTAATCAAACTCCCCAATGTTGTTTAATGTAGTGTTTTCATTTTACCTACTAGCTTATGCGCAGTGTATGCTACATTCAGAACTGTCACTGTTGCCAGTGTATGTATGTCTCAACCGTACATTCAAGCCCTCATATGGCTGGTGTCATAGCTGATCACATGTGCAGCACCATGGCACTTGCAGATCTAAACAGAGACCAAGATGGCGCTGCCCTCAGCTGCAAAAGGATAGGAGGGTTTATTTCTACTTGAATATGTCTTAAAGACCTTTAACTGTAGCACATTTTTCTTTTTCAGACAAAGACTACCTACTAATCGTCGTCCAGAACCCGTCAGACTGACCAAGGCAATGGAGCGGTTATCTGTCTTCATAATTTTCCTCCACAGAAATGTGCATTTTTCTTAAATGAGCTCTCTACGCACATTATAATCCGTTTTATATTGGGTGTATCGTTACTGGAGCACCTAGTTAGTTACTTTTCTCTCTGATATGGAAATATACATTATTGGTATTTGTTCATAGATCTTATTCACTGCTGCTCCTACTTCCAGAAGATCAGAATCCATCCAGATCCAGAAAAACCTTCCCAGAAATATAGTCAATTGTTAATACGTTCCAACATTGTTTGCAGCAGGGATTTACAGTGGAGGGAAGAGATCGCTGAAGACATTTTACAATGGAGACAATACACGGATGGGTTCCAGAGATTAGTAAATCTGTACACACTGTGATCTAGTCACCTACCAATAGCACCTAGGGTTCAGCAATTGTCCAAGCAAACCGAAACCCAGGACTGCCTGTGTCTTAGCAATTAGTGATGCTGCGAGACCTGCACACAGCGCCATTGGTTACTAAGAGCCAGGCCGCCTTACATTGTCCTAGGTTGTTATGGAGGGCCTATCTGCTTCCTAGCTATCATTGATGCTGTATGGCTCAGCCAACAATCAACCAATAAAGCTGTGCAGGTTATGGAGTGTCATTGGTTGCTAGGACACAGATGAAGGTTCAGCAGAAGCTCAAACTGCCCAAATCATTCGGCAAACTGGGAACAGCTCATGGTCAACCCGAAACCAAAGCTCATTCCAAGTCGGTCTCAAAAACCATAGGATGCAGAAACAGCCAGCTAACTATCATTTTCAAAAGGACAAGTTTCCTTTAAATATGTACAAATGCAAGTAACCTGTTTTTTTTTTTTGTTTTTTTTTCTACTTGGCTCATACTAATGTGCATAACCTGGAGGACTTGTTAATAAAATGTTCATTTCTTATTGCACTTTGGTTTTGTTTTGCTTTTTGAAATTTGGTATGCTTACAGATACGGTACCTTATGATAAGAAATATATATACTATGTACAGTAAACTCTCTGTTATCCGGTATTCAACTAACCAGAACTCTCATCTAACCAGGAAAAAATCCCCAGTGTACTCGCTGTTCTGGTGATCTGCGGCATGTATTATCTTGGAAACAATCGTGTGTCTATTTTGTCTTAATTTGCTTTTGATTACTGCATTTCGATAATAATATGAAATCAATACAAAGTTTATGATATGGCATTAGTTAGACTTATCTTTAATATTAAGGCCTCATTCACACACAACGCAAAAGCAAAATTGTATATTGCATCTATGCTCGTATATACGAGTGTATGTGCGTATATGCGTGCACTATTCGCGTTGCCAGAATGCATCATTCCTAATAGAAATTTTAATGAACTATACGCTCGCACACACGCGCAAACATGCGCATGTGTGTAAAATATGCAGAAATACGCTGCCCAGACGCATCTCGGTTCCATTCTGTTTTTGTGCATTTTTACGCTACGCAAATATACTACCGCGCGTATTGTACCATATGCAAATAAATGGCTCCATACGCGGCTATGTGTATGGAGCCATTTATTTGCATATGGTACAATACACGCGGTAGTGTGAATGAGGCCTTACTCTCAAGCTACCAGAAACTACATTTATCTGGAATCTACCAATCCCCTCAGCTGCCGGATAACGGGGAGTTTACTGTGTGTGTGTGTATGTATGTATGTGTGTATCTGCATGTATGTATGTATGTATGTATGTATGTATGTATATCTGCATGTTAAAATGTATTCTGTGCTTGTAGATTTACATGCACCCGTAGTGCTCAGTCTTTGTCTACGTGTAGATTTTTCGAGGGAATTCACTTATCTGCTTGCCGTTGTTCCTTGATTTTATAGTAGTGGCTGCTAATTAACATGCAGTATAGTGAAGAGCATTTGTACTAATTAAGCATTGTCTGTGAGACCTAGAGGTTACAAAGTCCATGAATAATGTACGGCTCTGACTGTGTATATAGAAGCAATACGCACCATTCATGACACCCACTCAGCTCTGCTGCTTTTCTCATCATACCAGAGCTGCAGAGCGTTGTCAGTCTGATTCCTGCTAACTGGTCACTTGCAGTGGTTTCCCTAAAAACCAACTCACATTTAGGGAGGCTTGTACCCAGGCAGCCAGAAAAACCCCAGATATGAAAGTAGGGGTAACTCACTTTGGAAAGGTCTTGGAAACATTTCAAAATGCATGCGGAGTGACAGGGTCATCCTATTACTATAATCACATGATCATCCCCTTTGACATGCAGCACTCTGCACGTATTTCATAGTAATTCCCCAATTGCAATAAACCCAAATACATAGCTGTGGTAACCATATTTCATACGACAGGCTACCTTTAGCCCCATTCACACTTGAGCAATTTATAGCTGGAAAGTACAAACTGCTCAGCATTGATAGAAACCATTTTCGTCTATAGTGTCTGTTCACATCTGCGGGCACATGTGCCTGTAGCAAAACACCCGTCGCTCCAAAAAGTACCGCAGCTTTTCAAGGCAGAATCAAACATTTTTGGTTTCATAGACTTTAATGAGAGTAATGTTAGATAGAAAAAAAACTGCGCTAGGAATCAAATACACTCTAAAGGTGCCCATACACCTTATGATTATCGGACGAAACTTTTCGTCCGATGATCGAACCGTCGTACGATTTTCGTACGACGGCCCCATCCTGCCCCGATTATCGCAAGGTTCAATCAGCGGTAGTTAGAAAAAAACACCTGGACGACTTGCGGTAATTGACCGCAATTATTTTCCTTTGCGCATGCGCAGTGTTAATCGTACGACTTTTGACGGACGGAAACGCCACCAACCATGCGAACATCGTACGATCAAAGTTTTCAAACATGCTTGACCGTCAAAAGTCGTACGATTGTACAGTACTATCGGTCGGGCACTCTATTCACACGTTACGATTGTCGTACGAAAAGTCGATCGCATACGATTATCGTACGATAATCGTAAGGTGTATGGGCACCTTTAGAGCAGCTGTGCTTAATAGGTGAGTACACCCAAAATAGGAAAAAAGAAAATAGCACTGCGCTTCAAACTCAAAAAATATTCCTAAAATGTTCTCACATTTTAGGAATATTTTTTGAGTTTGAAGCGCAGTGCTATTTTCTTTTTTCCTACTTTAATGAGAGTGGCTGAAAAATGCATGTTTATGGATGATTTTTAGGCACTGCCTTTTTAAAAGTCTGTGGGGCAAAAAAATAAAAAATTATATATATAATATGTGTGTGTGTGTGTGTGTGTGTGTGTGTTTTTAATGATTTCAATATTAAACCAGTCACAATCATTCTTTTTATCCATCATATGATGTAAAATTGTAACTGGTTGAAACTGAATAAAAAAAAAAAAAACAATAGTATATTCGAGCAATAGATTTATACTACAATAAACAGTGCCTTCTGTAGTGTAATGACATATTAAAGCTGTAGTGATTGCTTATTGTACAGCAGTTTAGTGGTATGCAAGGATCTAGCTTTACAGTTACCTATACCTTAGTATCCGATCCTCTGAGAATCAATGTCGTGTTCCTTAGATGCTGCATGTTTGATGACATTCTTGTGGGAAGGATAGATTGTTCCCGATGGAGAGCACGCATCGACATGTTTAGAGAGCACCTACATAGCTTGATTAACATTCATATTTTGTCATTGACCAGAAATACCATAAAGAACCATCAGAATGTGATTGATATGTCAGATTTGAGCAACTGATTCTTCTACATCTAGATTTTATTATGTGTGTACCTGGAGGATGTCATATTAGCTAATTACACATCAAAGCCATGTTGATGTATATAAGCCTTGCTAATATGCTAATGAAAATACATGGACAGATTACAGAATTCGGGGCCATTAAAAGCTGTAAGAATGGCCTTTTTTTTTTTTTTTTACACACAATCTGGAATACTGTACACGCTATATGTCTGTGAAGGTTCTCATTCATCCAGGTCATGGTAAATATGTAAAAATATAGTTAACCCCTTCCCTCCTGCCCCTACTATGCTCCCATGCTGGGGTTATGTCTAAAAATCTACCCCTGTGAGAGCCAGCAGCACTATCAACTTGAGCCCCCATTGATGATCAGGAGGCAGAGTGGTTCCCATTCATGTGATCACTATGTCAGCTAGAACATGGAGATCACATTCAGGCTGGAAGCTTCACTGAAAAAAATAAATAAGGGGTGAAACACACCTTTGCAATACAGAGCGCTGCATTAAAGTGCATGTTACCTCAAGGCATGTTAGAGCATTGCCGTGGTATTAATTTTAAATGCTGCCCCAATGCAGCTCTGATGCACATGTGTTGCAGCCCACACAACACATAATAACACTTCTATTGATTGTGGTGTGCTGCATTGGGGGTAAAAAGTCCATTTGTAGTTTGTTCCTGTGCACTGTCAACCCACTTAAAATGAATGAGCTGCCTTTTGCAATGCACATTAGTGCATGACACTATGGGGGGAATTTTTCAAAATGGGTAGAAGACAGAGTCTGGAGCAGTTGCCCATGGCAACCACTCAGTTTCTCTTTTTCATTTATAAAACTTAACTGAACAAACTGAAGAGAGAAGCTGATTGGTTGCCATGGGCAACTATTCAAGATTCTGCCTGCATTAGTATTGATAAATACCCCCCAATGTGTATTAATACAAGACACAGGAATGGAGAAGTGTGACTGGGGCCTTAGCCCACAGATGAGAACTTGCACATTTAGGCTGCAGTGGCATTTGCAGTGCCATCTGTTTAATACTGTCATTGTCATAAACAACTACAGTTTAAAACATTTTTTATGGTTTTATGTAGGGTACATCAGTGTACCAAATAAAAACCGTATATATAAAGTCTTTTAAAATAAATATAT